AATTTTCCAGCCAGCGGATCGTGGAGGCCCCAAGGCGACAATTGGCCAGTTTCTCCAAGAGGCGATCATGGGACACCAGATCGAAGGCTTTTTTGAAGTCAAGATATATGACATCGATCTCTTCTCCCTTGTCCAGGTGATAGGTCACCTGGTCGTAGAAGGAAATGAGATTGGTCAAGCAAGACCTACCCGCAACAAACCCGTGCTGGCTATCCCTTAAGATGTTGGCGTCAGCCAGTCCATTAAGGATGGCCTCTTTGATAAACTTTTCTGCACTACTTTGAAAAGGCTTGGTGTTCAGTATTGCATTGTGTTTTTATTTAATAACAGTTACACACACATGCAACACCAGTCGGAGACCAACACAAATTGGAAACCAAATTGGAGATCAGACCAGACCTGCTAACAATATGGCAGGATTTCTTTTCAAAACAGTCAATTCACTAAATAGTCACTTCTCCATCCCTACGTGCTCTAGTCAAATAAGATTATCCCCATTGCACAGAGTGGAAAATGAGTGTAGAGTTTGTGATTTATCACACAGCTAGTCAAATCTGGGATTCATATTCAGAGCTCTGTAGCTCAATGAGTTCACCCATAATGCTTGTAAGTTATAACACAAGGCAACCTGAAGACGAATCTGTTGGAGAAAATAACAGCCACCCTTCAAAGCTAATGTTTTCCTTAATGCTCCATGAGCTGTTTAGCAGTCATATCTTATCAGGCTAAAGTCTCAAATGGAAAAGTGAAGCCAAGATTTAAACAACATTATCTTTACTGATTTAATCTATCAGGCAGCAGTTAATGCTGTTGCTTTATGCAAAATGCGATGCTTAAATTCGGAACAATTTGACCCATGCTATTATCCTGCTTTCTGTGTTTCTTTTCCTTCCTTCTCTAGGCCCTCAAGGGGAAAGCAGAACTTTTGCTAACCCAAAGTGCATGTGCAGCAGTAACAAAAGCACAGGGCTGGGAGCCAGGAGGCCGACAGCAGGACTCTCACTCTGTTGAGGCCCCTTTGTGCTGCTTTGCCAGAATAAAAAGGATGAAACCTTCCCTTTTTCAAGACGGTGCTCTGTGCAGGTGCCTCTCTGGACAGTGCAGAGCTGAAGTGAGCCCTCTAACACCACCCCTGCTCCCAGCCCTTAGTATAGGGTGCTTGTCAGGGGCATAGGCAGACTGTAGCACACCAGGGCCATTCTCTACCTATCACACCCATAGATAAGACAGGGGAAGTAGAACAAGAGCAGCACCCTAAGGCTATTCCAGACTCCACCAAGAAGGGGGCAGGGGTCCACAGCCCCACAAAACAGAGAATACACAAAGTGGCCACTTCAACTCTCCCTGCTCTATTCCTGCCCGCAATGTGGGGGTGGGTTGAAAGAGAGACCCCTGGATTTTACTCCTTGCCCCCTAGCTCACTATGTGACTGGCCATGTCTCTCACTCAGGCTGTACCTCTTTTTCTCCCTTGATAAACATGGATGTTGGCTAATTATTAATACTTAAGTTTCTTCCTGTTTTCCTCCCACCTGAAGGTCTGCGATTTCATAATCATTTCCGTAGAAGGTGCTTCTGATAAAACAAACAGCAGATTCTGTCTGGGCACAAAGGATTTCAAGTGTGAAGGAGGTAGAAATACAGAGTGCCCCAGAGCAGTTTCAAGCCAAATGCTGCCTGTTTGGTACTGATACAGATCCTTTTCAGAAGCTCCCCGAGCTGTGCTACGGTTCTGCTGCCGAAAATCTGCTGTTCATATTTCACAGGAACATTTCACACTGTCAGTTAATGACGCTGGGGTACAAACTATCTATCATGCACCTCTGGTTTTATTTTCTCTCACACGCAGGAAATAACACGTGCTGGATTCTCAATCTTTCTGAGCATTTGAAGTTGTGACGTATGCCGTTTTCATTCTATACATTTTAATTACTGCTTAATGAATTAGGAAAAACAGGGAGCATAGTCTGTTAGTCGACGGGACTAGCTAAGAGGGAGCATGGCCTATTAGGTTTGCCACAGGGCCCAGAAATCTTGCGTTCTAACCTAGCGTTTGACACAAACTTGATAAATAACCAGCCACTCTATGACAGCTTCCCCATTTGTGAAGCTGGGGTAATAATACTAACCTGCCAATCAGGGGTGTTATGAAGAGTAAGTGATATTATAAAAATATTATCAGCTCACTATGGTTGAGTTGCACTGAGCAAGTTTTCAACACACAGCAAAAAAAGAAAATCATGTTTTCCCTATAAAACATCCTTGCAAGGTAAAATGACCACTGCAGAGTCTTTATCAGTAGTCTGAGTTCATGTTCCTTTTTAGGAACATGCTCATGCACATTAACCGCCCCCCCATCCCACCCCACCCCCAAAAAACCAAAAAACCAGAAATATTGAATTAACATAATGCTTCTCCACAAATCACCTTAATTCAGCTTTGAGGAAATACCAGCATATTCTCTTTCTTTCCTTTCCTTAGATGGCATGAGCAAGTTCTATTTGGGCTCCTCTAGCAGTAAGTAACCCAAGTTTAGAAACTACTTCAGGGCACAGAAGTGTCCAAGTCTCCTGCATCTCATTTGGGGCAGATTTCTGGGGATGAAAGAACCCAGCTTGACACCGAGATCCCCGAACTAATCTGCAACAAAGGCGACATTTCCCTTACAAGCTGAGCAAGTCAAAGCTGTAGTGGGGATGCACCATGAAGCAGGGAATTCCAACAGTGGCACTTCAAGCTTTAGACAAAAGCAAGGCAAATGACTTCTTGGGCCTCTGTATACCCTCACCATCTCCTGGCTACCTTCCCTCTTGCAGGCAATGAACCAGAAGAGAAGCCTAGACTAATCTCCCCTCTTCTAGCAACAGGACGGAAGCAGAAAAGGCCAAGTGACCATTTGAAGTATTTTGCCTT